GTTGCTTCAATGACGCATTCTCTATTCCGTAGCTTTTTTCCGCATCATGTGATTTCATTCTTATGCAAGAGTCTGTGCTCCCCGTCTTATTATGTACTAATATGTACCAATTTATGCACCAGTTCATTTTCCTTTTCTCTTCAAAAGAGAGTGATGCAAAAGTTTAGCCACAAAGAACTGGCCCTAATAATAGGTCTTGTTTGTGTTGCATTTTTGGCACTCGATATCTTCGCTTTCTTTTTTTTTTAAGGCAAAATATGTATTTATCCCATTTTAAGTGCAAAAATATTTGGGGATTTTATGCAACACAAATAGACCTAATACCAATATGTAACAATAAATACTAAGCGCTTATTGGACTACAGACAATTAGGTCAAAAATAGCGGTGAAATAGTCAATAGGAAGGCTGTCGGCAAGATAAAGAAATGCACTACTTTAGTAATATAGAACTTTAAACAGTTGGACTGCGTTCAGGAATTACGTCCAGATAACTCTAATGCGATGGCCCTTGAGGGTGTTAAAGCAATGTGATTTCTGTCCAGTGCTCTGAATGTCAACGTGAAGAAATTCAAGCAAGCGCGGGAATAACTATGACTCTCTTAAGGTAGCCAAATGCCTCGTCATCTAATTAGTGACGCGCATGAATGGATTAACAAGATTTCCGCTGTCCCTATTTACTGGGAGCGGCTATGACTCTCTCCCGAGGCTCATAGCGGAACGCAACACACAGCCTTTCATCTCCAAGTCACACACAGTTACCTCCGCGTTGGTGCTCCTGGAAACGTCTTAGGACGGCTAAACACTGTTGTGGCGAACATGGAATTGACGGTATATGGCATCTTAAGACTGCTGATCTTCTCGGCACCTTGATTTCTCTTTTGGTTCTTTGGAGCCGGGGTCGGGGTTGATCCTGCCCAGGGAAGCTATAAAATTGATGGCAGGCATTCTGGGGCTACCGACTCTCTTAGCGCCTTGATTTCCCTGCTGGAGACTCTTTGGTGCTGGGATCGGGGTCAGCTTGCCCTGAGGAAGCTATGGTTACACAGCACAGTCACGAGTTAGTACCGCACTGGTCAAATGGCTCCTATGTGGCAAGCGACCAAAACACAGTAGAGCTACGAGTCGGTACCACACTGATCAAATGGTTCCTGTGCGGCAAAGAAACACGTAGCGACGTGCGTTCTAGCCCTGCCGCTACCGCCTCCTTCTTCGGAAGGGAAAGCGGTGGCGATAGGTGGAGGACTCCTCTGGGATCGACGCGGCCCGGGTCTGCCTTGGGCCTCGTCGAAACCAGGGTGTCTAACGCACGATTTATTCTTCCAGCTCACATCAATCATCAAATAACGATGGATGAATGCTCAATGATAAGCGTTTCCAAATGGCGCTCGTTCAAAGGCCAAGGTGTAGGAAGTCGTGCTTAGGGTCTGTATGGCTACGGAAACCGAGCAATCGCGAACGACGCCTCCAGGGTACCTGTCGCCCCCCCTGGAGTAAGCAGATTTAGTGGCGTATAGGTAGGTGCGCCACTCGACTTCTTCCTTCTACCAAGAAAATTTCTTAATTATATGGAAGCTAAACACAAAAACAAAAACAACAATAGAGTAAGGCGGTAAAGTATGAACATCAAGGCTGAGAGAATAGCTAAGATTAGCAAAGGTCGAAGTATCAGGATAGTCCTAGAGAGATGTGACGCTCAAAGAGAGTCAACAAAGACAGTTAGCAAACTTCGCGCTGTCAAAATAGCCCTGGAACGATGTGATAATCTCATAAAGCAATATGCACTCCAACGAAAAGGGCAAGTAGCAAACATAAACAAAAGGTACCATTGTGAAGTTAGCATAGTCCTACAAAGATGTGACACACAAAGATGTGGATCATAAGCACAAAACGCTCAAGCGACATCATCCGCCGGCTCCAAGTTACTAGGAGTTAAGATACTGCAACTGAATATGGGGCGATCAGCTGCGGTAATAGGTGAAGTGCGTCAGCTCATCGCCGAGAAACATCTTGACATCCTGTTGCAGGAATCATATGTTAGGAAGCAAGACGACAGCCACACCTTCTATGGATTAGGAACGGGGATGAAAGTTGCTGCACTCGGAATGGAACGTTGGTAGCGGTCAGCAATCCCCGACTGCAGATGATATTTGTCTCGCAGCTTAGCACGGCCCACTGCGTGTGTGCGGAAGTGAAGGCCTCCGGCCTATCAATATACGTCGTGTCATTTTACTTTCAGTACAGCGACGAAATTGAAGGCCATCTCAGGCACCTCAAGAAGGTGCTTCATTCCCTGAGACTCATATTGGCGATAGATACCAACGCGCAATCGTCGCTCTGGGGTTCCCATGAGACTGACGAAAGAGGAAAGAAGTTCGAGATCCTCATCCGTGCATTTGATCTTGAGATAATAAACGAAGTCCATCAAGAGCCCACCTTCAAAACGAGGAGGGGATTGTCATAGCCGTAACCCTGGTGTCCCTTCAAATAAGTCAATTCATCGACATATGGAAGGCGAGGCGAGAATGGACAACCAGTGACCACAGTCCCGTGGAGATCGGGCTGACGTCAAGGACGGTAGAACTGCAAACAGTAGGTTTGACACACGACGGGCCGACTGGAAGCGATTCAGTGGGAGCCTAAAAGATCTATCCGGATCGAGGCTTGGAGCCCTCGGCCCAAGATCTGCGGAAGAAGTAGAGAGAATGGCCGGAGAGTTACAGGAGGTAATCTTGGAGGCATGCGAAAAATCGATGCCGAGAAAAAGAGCTTTTAGAAAGTCAAACCTGTAATGGACGGAAGAATTGACAAAGTTAAAGAAAGAGGTGAGCCGAAGGAGGAAAGTGATCTTTATGAAATGGAACTGGAACGGAATGCTCAATTCATGTATCCACAAATAAGAATCAATCACTCGGTGAGTGCACTGCATTCCGAAACCCATCGAAAAAGTATTGCAACTTTTTAGTAACCGACTGTAAAAAATAAAAAAAATAACAGATAATATATCTTTACTTCAATAATTTTTTATCATATAAGAGTGCCGCTAATATTATATTACAGAATATTACAATAAAAAGTTTTATAATACTAGTTAATTTTTTAAACACAAATGTAAGTCACAATATTAAAAGCATACTTTTAAAAAATTTTTTAAAATACAGTAATTCTCATTATTTTTTGGGTATTGGTGCAGTAAGCGCATCAATTATCATCTTTTTTCTTACTGTTTTTTCGGGTTCTGAAATATTTTCTAAATGTACGCGAATATAATTAGCAAATGACTGATCAATTGTTTTTATACTATCTGTAGTGTTTTTTTTCGTACTTTTGAGGAAATTCAGAATTGTTTTACTGATATTCGTCAATGTATCATCAATACTTTTTGAATCTTCAATTTTACGTCTTTTAAACCTTAAACCACTTATTTGTTTGGTACGGTTACTATCTCGATCATATACTTGTTCAAGATTCTCCATGTCTCGAGACGTATCTTGACACATATTAATAATTCTTTTCTGAGGCACTTTAATAGTATTTTGCTGCTCATACTCCGATTCGCTAGTAGATTCATTATTATTATCTTCATGTATTACTGCTTCTGTATCTTTTATGAATTGAAGTGCGTTCCTATTTCGTTCAACGTTGAAAAAAGTTCTAAAGAAGTAACAAAACATTTCTCAATTAAAAGAATTCTTAATAAAAAAAAATTATTTTAATTTTATAATGTAATATCACTTACCTTCTCCTTTTAATAAAATTGTCCAGAAAAGATAATTGAGTAAAAAATGGAAATGTTCTCCGTTTTGAACAAGTACTTCCACTTTTGGAATTATTTCTAATATTTCTTTTTTCACGACTATATTGATCTCTTAAAGAAGTACATCTTGTTTGACAATATTTAGGTGTGTATCGCTTACCTATGAAAAAATAAAAATTGTAATATTAATTTAGTTATTTGTAAAATCTAAACATACACTAATATCATATTACTCCATAGCAAAAAATGTTAGTTACATCACAATAATTATGGTGACGTGCGAATGTCTTTATAATATGTGTTATTTTGTTATGACAATCTCACAATGACATCATACAATATTTTCTTCCTGACTATAGAGATTCAATAATTGTGACGTGAATATGACCCTTTGCTATACGGAGCCCTGATAGCAAGCTGGTCAAAATGACGACAAAATGACGTAGCTTGTTACCAGGGGGTAACGTAGCTATTATTATAATAATGCAAAAGTATTAACCTAGGTTTTTTTGTTGCATAATAGTAGAAATTTCGAACCACGCATTTTCTTTTATCTGTTTATTCTGAAAATCTTTATGACTTTTATCATATAAATATCTTCGTTCCTTGTATAATTGTATAAGAAAATCGTCACTCTCTTTTCCTTCAATAACATTTTCAGATAAAGATTTCACACAATCAACATATGTAAATGAATTTAAAGTTGTGTAAGGATGATCTTCCATTTTACAATTAACTTCTAATATCACTGAAAGCATGTACAAAAAAATATTTTTATTAAATAATTGTTTTTACAAAAAGAATATTTCTAATAGCATTTTTTAATCGATAGAAAAACATTAAATAAGCTTATCGTGAAAATGTGAAATGAATTTGAAGTAACTCATTATTTTACAACAAATTATAAATTAATAAAAATTGCTATTAACAATATACAAAATTATGTATTATGTGTAAAATATATAATAAATAAATTTGCTGCATATATAAAGACTAATTTGTTCAATTAATGTAATGGGAACAGAAATGTCTAGTCATTTGAATTTGTAAATGCATATCGTAACATATTCAAGACAAGTATTTCTTTTTAAGATTGTATTTTAATATATACTGGCAGTACTAAAAATCTTTAAGTATCCCATTTTAACTTTCGCATTAAAATATCTCGTAAAGTATAAAAGATACGGGAAAGAGATACCAAATGTTTCAGACAAAAGTTGTATGACTTCGAAGAGGATATAAGACCATTGGTTTGACTTTGATTATCAAGATAAGAGCAAGGTTACTATGAATTTTTCAAATGAAACTCCCCATTTTTTTCATCATATATTCATGTAACTTACCTCGAGAGCGTTTTAAAAACTATTAATGAAGTATTTTTTTAATTAAATATAATAATATTGTAGGATATTCCTATATGTATTTATCTGGATCAATAACTTGCGGGACGGGACGATTAAAGCCGGCAAAGTTGAACGCTAATCGTAAGATATATTTATATGTGGGGAATACGATGATGACCCCGGGAAAAAGAATCAGTCGTCTCCGAATGAAAAGAGTGAAAAGTCGACAACGCGCCGTGTGCTGCAAGAGATTAGCGAAATTGTCCAAGTCCGAGATCCACGTTTATAATTATTTGTATAACACTATCCCGAATTTAATAAAGTACATTACTTATATGTATACGAGGGTCGTTTGAAAAGTCCGTGCAAAGTCACTGCTGATGGCACTACTGGCGTGTATCAAGGTTAGATTTAGTTAGTAGCATCTCTTGGAGGAACACACACCAAGTTACAGCCAGATCGGTCTATTTGTTTGTGTTTGGCATTCATTTGAATCGAGGAAGTCGAGGGGGGGTTTGTTTCTGCAATCACGTCCTCGTTTCCATAAAATCTTTTTCCCGCCAGCCATTTCTTCATATTGGGGAACAAATAGTAGTCCGAGGGAGCCAAGTCTGGAGAATAGGGGGGATGTGAGACGAGTTGGAACCCTAATTCCATTAATTTTGCGACCACAACTGCTGAGGTGTGAGCTGGTGCGTTATTGAAAATCACTCGACTTCCTCGATTCAAATGAATGCCAAACACAAACAAATAGACCGATCTGGCTGTAACTTGGTGTGTGTTCCTCCAAGAGATGCTACTAACTAAATCTAACCTTGATACGCGCCAGTAGTGCCATCAGCAGTGACTTTGCACGGACTTTTCAAACGATCCTCGTATAGTAAGTATATATTATATTGTGATATAATTTACTTATATGTATAAGTAAATTATATCACAATATAATACATATATATATGTGTATACTCGTATATACGTATATATTAGGGTGGAGTGGAAAACAATTTTTTTCGATTATCAAATTCTAATAATGCGGAAAAGTTGCCTACGTGGCCCAATAAAACGTGTACAAAATTTCAATTCAATCGGATAATTTCTTTTGTGTGCACCAAAGGCCTCAATTTTTAATTAAAAAGTCAAGAAAATTCAACTTTCTATCGTAGATTGCACCTTTTTTATTCAGCATTATGTATTTGTTGCGTAAATGGAGAAAAAAAAGAAACACTCGTGGGCGGTTTCGAACGACAGGAATGGCCTACGGGCAATACAAAGTATCTAAAAATGCAGCTTTTCGCCCACTTTCCTAACGGAGCAAGTGGCCCAGAACCCACCACGCGGAGGTGAATGTCGGATTCCTTTTTCTTGTTTTTTTTTTGTATTTTTATATTTTTTTGTATTTTATATTTAAAAAAATTTTTTTTCATTTGTTAATATTTTTATTCGCGAAAACAAGTAATTGCGCTCCTTATAAATGTGTAATGTATACACTTTACAGTGAGAACTGAGACTTCGTATAAAAAATTGGTATTGATTGACTTGACAACATTGTGCAACGAATGAAACCATCCCTTGCATCGCTGCCACACATTTGAGAAGATGCTTCAATCACGAGTTTTACCATGTGTTCAACTGCCTGGGTGTAGCAGGGAAGAAATTCCCAATCTAGAAACACGCTCTTCCTCTTACTCGACAATTTATCTGATAACACTTGATTTGTTACTTGGTTGAGAACTGGAAGCGACTTGATTTGAACAGAAGACCAATCAATTATTTTATAATAATCGTCTGCGGAGAAATTGATTTCCGGAAGGGATAGTAATTGTTCAGCACTTTCATCTGATTCTCGGTCTCGGGCTTGTAAAATTTCGGGCGTAATGCATCTAGACGGACTGTACGCCGTCATCATGGAGAGAACATTTTCCGGGAATGCGAAGAAAGCATTGCAATGGTGGCATCAACCACATGTAAGTATTGTTTTGGTAAGTACCGTGACTATTGTATGGTATAAAAAATACTTCATTTCGTCTTTAATAGAACTGTTGCATTTTATTGCAAACTACATCGGGGCATAGACCTTAAGTATGTACAGGGTGCGGCAGAGAAACTTACTTTTTTGAAAAACGCGCCAAACGGCAAGGGGTGAAGGTAGGAAGCTGGGAGGGGGTGCGTCCGAAAGGATAGGTCCTCAATTTTTGTTCCCCCCCACAGCCAGTCTCGATCATGCTTTGGACAAGAGAGCATCGCGCGTTTGCCGTCGAGGCATACTTTGGTAATGGCCGCTCCATTGTCGCCACTCAACGTGCCTTTCGAGCGCGCTTCATTATTCCTATGGGGTTATTTGAAGTCTATTGTTTACAACGATCGACCAGAGACCCTAGCTCACCTGAAGACAAACATTCGGAACGCCATCGCCGAAATACCGGTGGACATGCTTCAGAGAGTGACGCAAAACTTCAGAAATCGACTCAATCAGTGCATAGACAACGGCGGCCGTCATTTGATAGATGTAATTTTCAAAAGTGCATGAAAAAAAATTTGATGAGGTGATCTGTAAGAGGAAAAAAGAATTATACCGATATCTGCAATAGTTTCGTTTTTATTAACCTTTAAAAAAAGTAAGTTTCTCTGCCGCACCCTATACGTCTTTCAGCTTTGTCGTTGGTTTTTCAATGGACATATATAAACGCAATATTCTACTTTCACAGGTCAGCCAGCGAGCGTGGTTAAAGATACCTGGGTTTCGACAGTTAAGGTCATGTGGACAATTACCGGATTGAATTGCCTTAGAAATATCCAGTACTGGTCCTTACTCAGATCTACACTCAGATTTCCACTTTAGATAAACAGCAATCAATAGTCTTATAGGAAACGACTGGGGAAGGCTCTCAGTTTTGAAGTCGAACACCTATAGGTTCAGCAAATGACTTTGGTCCAGATATGGCTCCATAAGTAAACTGAAAGAAATTCCGAAATGAAAGCTTGTTATAGTGAAGAAGGCATATCATCCACTGGAGCGATCGATCACATTTTTTTTTGGAGGAACCTAATTACACTACCTTCTGCTCCCGTGTATTAACAACTATACACCATACAACCATAAGCTCATTCAAATCTATTGCCTTCAAGACCAATTCATAAATGCTGTCACAAATATCCTGTGCACTCTCTGATTTCGACCCTACGTGTCCTAAATACTTTGATCCAGGTTCGGATATTATTGAAATGCGCTTTTCTTTTACAGTGCGTCGATAAAACTTTGCTCCTTGCTTGACCTGAGTGAGTGTATCGTTTTTTCAACCATCTAAATACAGTGTTTTTAGGTAGTTTGATATGTTGTTGTGCTTGTATTTTCAACTCTTCCTGAACTTTATTCTTTTCTCATCTTATTTTACTTCAGTTTGTAACTAATTCTGGGGCATCTCGAGATACTAGTCCAATATTTTTAAGCACTGCAGTAGCTATCATTGCTGTTGCTTTATCACTTACGCCATACCTTTGACTAGTAAATGACGTTTCTCTCAAAGTCACGCAGACTTTTCTGGTGCTAAGTAAGAGTAATCAGAATCATATGATTCGCTTTCTGAAATTTCAGATTCAAGTAAACATGGTAAAGATTCTTGACGAGTGGAACAGGAAGGTGCTGTTGCAACTCGCCATCAGAGGTCCAACGGGATTCGTTCGGATTCGCATGAGCATTATAGCCACGCGAATTCCCTTTAAATAGGACACCAATCTAAATTCATTTCCAGGCGTCTAAGGCAGGTCCTACACTATATCGCTTTATTGATGAGTCTAGTAGTGTGGGACCGGGACGAAACGCCGCGAATAAAAGGTTCGCGGTCAAGCCTCCTTAGTGGACTTGAACATCATTCGTACAGATATCTACAGTTCATTTACTGATGTAGGTACTCGTCTATTTTGTATTTTGTCGCGATGATTAGTTCTTTCTATAAGCTTTATTGTTTCAGGAATGTCGACGCCTCTATACGAGGCATCCGACTGACTCGGGTCCTTCTCTGGTCATGAAGAAAAGCCTGTTCTTTCTGAGGAACTTTTCGATTCTTCGGACAAGAACAGGACTAGAAATTACAGTATTTGCATGCTGCAATGTCGAATAAATAGTTGACAATTGCTTTGAAGTCATTAATGTTTTTTTGTAAAGCTGAGATTCTGTTGGCTTTGTAAGTATACTTTATGACTTTTCTATATTTTTTATGATATTTTATGATATTTTGTACAACATGTGTATACAAAACAATGGGAATAGACGTCTTTTCATAAAGACTGATAATCTTTCTCGCTACCCTTTCACCCCAATAACTGAAAAGGATTTTCTGTTTCCCGAATCAATACCTAAAATACGCCTCTCATGAGCACAGCATGTGAGTACTTCCTTATAAGTGAA